TTAATTCAGAAATCTAAGAATGTAAGAAAACCTGTTAATTGCACCTGAACACGTTGCATTCAGTGTCATCTCAAGAACTGCAACATTGAAATATAAATGGTAAGGGGTGAGAAAAGCTGTTGATATTAACAATAAAAACGGGCATGACATGATTAAGCACCAAGTAATATTGGGGCTTGTCAGACAAATATTGCAGGCAAATGTTTGCTGCGTTGTGTGCGCACATATGTATTTTATGTAAAATAGCCGCAGTCTGTCTGCTCTCGGGAAGCAGGGAGCGTGAGTGGGTAAACAGCTCATAGCAACAGATGAAAGGCTGGCGAAGTTCAGGCTCCCCATTCAAAGGTTTCCGCGGTGTGCGAAATGACAGTCGCAGGTTGGTTGTGTTTCCGAGCTCTGGTGTATTTGAATTGTTTGCTCGTCTACGGAGGCTCCCCATTATCTTATTCCTCGTTGGATTCATCAGCTCTGCTGGCTGGCTGGCTGGCTGCAGACCTGTTTCATAGGGTGATTTTAGCAAAATGCGTTTCACCCACTTTGTAATGCCCTGTCCCTACCCAAGAGAAGATCAGAAATATTTTGTTTTAATTGATGATGCTAAATTACGGTACCAAAAACCTAGCATCCCGCTCACGCCATACAAGTCTCCTGCTGCCTGGTCAACATAGATCTGTGATTCCATTTTTAAATCAAATTATGCTTGTGATAATATTGTCTTGAGCTTACAGTTGCTGACATGGATATTGACAAAGGCTTTGCCAGTATTTTAATAAGAAAACAAAATACGGGAAATACTCTAGAGTTTCCAGGTGGATCATTAAGAAGACGCCTTGGAGGGCTGAGACTGCCAGCCAGCACAGGGAATGCATCACAGTTCGTCATACAACTTAAACTTCTTTTGACATCTAGTTATGTCGAAATGTGACTGATCACCTAGGGGTCCAGGCTCCTGTGAGGGAAAAGTTCACTGACAGACAGCGAACGAAGCTGATCTTAAATGAGAATCAAGAGCAAGCAGCATTCCCGCGCCTGACAGTCTGCAGCTGCTACCTGGGTCTGCCTAACGAAGACGAGCCTGCTCTGCTGAACAGCGATATTAGCATCTGTATGCTTCTGTCTCATTATCACACATCTGCCCACCTTTATTCGAATGACGCCTCTTCTGATCTGACAGCTCAGGCATTGTCAGTGAAGAGATATTATGGGAGCCGGGTACAGCAGCTTAGGGTGTTAGCTTTTATTTTCTAAAGACTGTTGTACAGCTTGACAGTATAATGCCACAGAGGTAAAGGAGATAATTAACATATTGGGCAGTTTCTAAACAAAGCTGAGACAGTTATACTGGCAAAAGTGCTACTACTAGAGCAGTACTGTTTGCACTCGGGAAACATCAAAGGCTCACAAGATCTTCCTTTAAAAGAGAGCAAGCGAGCAGGTACAGCTTGGTCCCCCAGCCGCAGCCTGAAGGTTTGGGGGGCGGGCGCTGGCCTGCCCCTAAGAGCTGCAAAGCCTTTGGTGTGATCTTTGAAGGTTTTAAATTTTAAAAAAGGTGGGTTGTGGGGGGGGGGGTTGCATTTTTCTTTCTTTCTTGAATTTATTTTTACCCCACAGCACAAAGCTAAGCACTTGCATGAGCTTCACAGAGCTCGTATTTGGATGGAGATTTAGGCCGTCTAAGTTGGAGATCACATATGGGATTTTCTGGAAATGCCAAAAAAACATACGAGAGAGGTTTCATCATTTGTCTGCTCAGTAAGAAACTAGAAAGGCTTTGGTTGAAAAAAAAAAAAAAAACAAAACCAAAAAGTCAGGGAAATATCATTCTGAGTGCACAGCGTGGATGGACCGAGCTTTGATAACTGAAGACGACGACGTTCCTGTTCTCTGCTGCAGCGGAGAGAAGAAATACGGTACTGCAGTGCGTGACTACCCCATCTACCTTCTGCTGGAGCGGGCGCCACGGGCTGCATGTGCTCCAGCGGCGGACCCGAAGGGCGACTTGGCCCAGCCTTTCATAAACGTTTCACACGGGACTCACTTCAGCAAACGTGGCCTTTTTGCTTTTTCACTTCATGCCGAAAAGTAGTTGCTGTGATAGGCTGCAGCGTGAGCATCCCTGGAGACGTTGCGTGTTTGAGCCCTTGTCTAGGTTTCCGAGGGCCCGACAGCCTCGACCGCCCTGCCTCTAGGCGAAGCTGTAGCCCCAAGACCAGATCCTCAGCACGTTTAAACGAGTCGCTCGTTTGTAGCCAAAACACCGTTTCCTGCTTCTGTGGCGATAGGCCGATTTACCCTGCTGCGAGTTTTAGCCCTAATTTCCTAAGAAGTTACGGGCCTTCCTCGTTTCCTTCATGGCTTTCGGTCTGCTGCTTTCTCCTTTGTTCTTGCGAGAGCCCGGGGTTTCCGTGAGTTCACGTCGAAGTTAACTGCTGTTGCGCAGCGAGGCGCTCCAAGTCGGGCCGGCGTCCGCGCGGGTCACGTCCGCGCAGCTCGCTGGGGCCGGGCCGGCAGAGCCG